AGCGTAGACAGCAGAGTTGTCATCCCAGTGAGCCTTGAAGATGGGGTTAATGCCCAGGGCCGAGGGGCCTACACCCAGAATCTGCAGAGTATGGCCAATATCCAGAGTCTGGAGGGCAGGGCCATTGTCCCGTCAGTCCTGAAAAATACAGGATTATTTTCAAGCCTTGAGAGCTAATGTAATTTGTTCTGCTGGGTTTTGGACTTACTTGGTGCCTGTGAACCCTTCTTTTCCTCCAGTTTCTCCCATTTGTAATGGAAATGTCTACCATATGTTTGTTCTACCATTGTACTTTGGAAGCAGATAAATTTCTAGGTCCACTGATGGAGAAGAATTTTTCCCCAGGATGGAACACACCCAAAGTTTAGCAACATTTGATTTAGATGATCCAGAAGATGAGATTTTGGATTTAGAGTTGATGCTGGGATGTGGCAAGCATTTTTGGGATGATGTGATGGGGTGAGTGTGCTTTGTTTTTGGAAAAGACATGAATTTTGGGGGACCAAATGGTGGAATGTTATAGACTGAATTGTGTACCCCAAAATATGTATTGTGTATCTTAATCCTTGTATTTGTCGATGTAATCCCATTTAGGAATAGGATTTTCTTTGTTCTATTAGTGAGGCCATATCAGCATAGAGGATGTCTTAAGGCAATCACTTTTGAGATATAAAAGATCAGATTAGGCGCAGAAGAAGGAAGCAAGATGAGGGAAGATAGGTGCTCTGCCACAGGAAGATTGCCAAGGAACCAAGGAAAAGCAGCTGAAAAGAGCCAAGGACCTTCTCCCAGAGCCAACAGAGAGAGAAAGCCTTCCCCTGGAGTTGGTGCCTTGAATTCAAACTTCTAGCCTCCTAAACTGTGAGAAAATAAATTTCCGTTCATCAAAACCACCTGCTTGTGGTATTTCTGTTATAGCAGCACTAGATAACTAAGACAACATCCTTCAGTACTTTTCACCATCACACTATAGTCTAAAAAACCTTGCTGCCCTTTGTTTCAATGGAGTTGAGATCAGACTTAGTTCTGGTCTTTCTCCCGTATTGCATTAACATTTGAATAAAGACTTTCTTGTCTGTTTAAAATTGTCTGGTGCATTTTTTCTCTGACAATATCAAATACATGCTGGAATACCTGACTTTCTCTAACTTCAGATGGGGCATGTAGGGATTAGGAAAGTACACTGACATGGCAGTCCCAGGAGACCTGGACTTTAGTGCTGGTGGTACCACTAACTACCTTTGTGACCCGGAATGCATCATCATACCTCTCTGGTCCTCAGTCTTCTTATCTATGAAGTGCGGGCCTTGGATGATATGTTTTTTAGGATTTTCTTCTAAGCCAAAACAATACTTTCTGGAATCTTAATAATGTTTTACATAAAAATAGTTGATAAGAGCATTTTCTGTTTTATGAATACCTCTTTCCCTGACCAAGCAAGATGGAGAGCAAGAGAATGAATGCCCTTTGATTTTTCAAACCACAAGACATCTTAGTATTCCTTTAGGGAGCAGGGAGAACCATTCTCTACTTACAACTCTTCAACCAATCCTTGTAATGCATATTTTCTGATATCTTTGACATTACTTTCTGCCAAACTCCTTGCAGATAGTCCAAAGAATGCCATTTTTCTTCAGTTAACTTTCCAAAACTAGATTAGCCCTTAGAAGGGGTAAAGTTGATGTTTACTATTCAACATCAGAAATTTTCATTTATTTCCTATCTCCTTTGTCATCTGCTCTCAACAAATGTGCTTGTCTGAATTCTCACCCCGGTTTTCAAAACAAGTGATCACTCAGAAAATCAACACTTGGGCTGACTAAACACCTCTGCTTCGGGTAATGACCCTTTCTTGCTATGATTTTCAAATACGCCTCCCTCCACAGCTCTGTGTAGTGCCTGCCTCAGGGGCCACATCTGAGATGTAAAGCAGTAAGGACTCTGAGTTGTGCATTCAAAATAAAGCGTCTCCAAAGGAAAATATAGTAGATGATCACTAAATATTTGTTGAAAGAGAATTTCTGGATCTGTTTCTAAATTTCATATGTAATTGACTGGGAAAGTTTTAGTCTGTCCCGGTGTGTGTGTGTGTGTGTGTGTGTTTGTAATTCATTCATGCACACGCCCCCTCACCTAGCATTGTACAAGCAAGTATGTCTCTCTACAAGTGCCTAGAGTGGTCAGTGAAATGACATGAAACCTCAAACACATCTGTTCAGCCTTGCCCTAGTGAAATAAACAAGTGACTTGTGTTAACAGGAATGTTGGAAAGATTAATGATCTTTTCTAACTTTTAGGCTTATGGTAATGAGACATAGCCTTCTGTGTTGACTAGATTGAGAATTTTTAGTTCAATGACAAGAACTCAAGATTTGGGTTTTTCTTAGAGTGACTTTCATCAAGCAGATAATTAGCAAATGATAGGTGAAGAAGGATTATTTTTAAATAATTTGCAACTGAAATCTGTAATGCCTGGTGATTTCATTCTTTAAAGGATTTTGTCTGTGGTCCATGTAATAGGTCACAAATTAGAGTGCTCCTGCCCTAGCCTGAATTGCCATTGTGCTACTGAATGGTGAGTTTCAGAAAACGCAATAACTGCTAGATCACTAACTCATTATATATTAGGCAGCTTGTATATTCAGATCACAGTATGTGAGAGTGGGTGCTGTGTACACACAAAAGGAAAACCCCAACGCACTGGAATCTGCATCTCCCTTAACATTCTGTGTACAGCTAAACATGCACAAGCCCACAGTGTCTACCAGCCAGGAAGACAAACTGCATTTGTGTTGGTCTGTGATGCCTTTCAGTTAGGCTTTGTAAAAGGGTAGCACAGAGTATTTCTGAATAATGAAGGTTTTTTTTTTGTTGTTGTTGCTGTTGCGGTTGTTTGTTTTGTTTTGTTTTTCCTGGCATACCGGAGGGTTTTCCTACAGCCTTGCATATCAGCTTTTGAATCCCTGAAAGCCCTCACCACACAACACAACTTTTTAAAGAGTAGCGTATCAGGGAATTCTTTTTCTGGGATGAATACCACAGTTTTAAAGTGATTGCAGAGTTTCGGAAGTTAGTAGGACTTTGGAGAATACAGGACAACTTGAACTTAAGGTGCTTAAGACATTTATAAAAGTTTTATGGTTCTTTCATGCTTTTCCTTTTGTGTTCTAAACTGCAGAAGGACCTTGAGAAAGAGAAGAGGAGGCAAAATGTTATCAAAAGGAAAAAAAAATCGTGTGAATGCTACCTGGAGGGAAAAATGTGAAACTGATCTTAATTTCCTTTTTGCTTTTTAGAAGAATGGTGCTGTCTGTAACAGATGACGCCTGTGAAGGGCAGAACATGTTCTAAAGTCACTCCTTGTAACAGACCCCAAATTCCACATATGGGGAGTTTTTCTCACGTGACTGGACAAATTCTAACTGACTTTAACAGGTCTGGAGCCCCCTTTTTTCCACTTGTATATCTCATTCTCCCAGTTCCCTATCACCTATCATTTATTATTCATTCAGCAAATATTTTTGTAATACCTACTATGTGCCAGGTACAGCAGCATGTCATGAAGATGCAAGGCTGGAGATAGGGTGAGCAAAGCAGACACTTCCCTTTTCCTCTTGTAACTTACCATCTAATGTTGATGTTGTTAGTTGTCTCCTAGTTGATCCCGACTCATGGCGACCTCATGTGTACAGAGTGAACTTCTCTATAGGATTTTCAAGGCTGTGACCTTTTGGAGGTAGATTGCCAGGCCTGTCTTCTGAGGTACTTCTGGGTGAGTTCAAAATGCCATCCTTTCGTCTAGTAGTGGAGCACTTAACCAGTTGCACCACCCAGGGACCCCTCTATCTAGGGCACACAGACAATATGGCAAAGAACTCCAAGGGCTGTAAAGGAGAATTAGGAGAAGCCTTGACAGGACAAGGAGGTCTGTCTGCTTTGGGGGTCTGGAAAGGGCTCCCATAAGGCAGCAACATTTGAGGCTGCAGGAAGAACCCGGGACAAGACCCCAGGACAGGGAGAAATGTCAACGTTTCTGGAATTGAAAGGCCAGAATAGAAAGCTGGAGGTAGGGTGGGGAGAATCTGGGGGCAAAGGCTTCAGATGAGGCCTGAGCAGATCATACAGCTGCATTTTGGCCTGTTCTGGAATTGCTGTTGATTTTAAGGACAATGGACAGTGTTGAAGGGTTTGAAAGAGGGATAAGATCTGAAGAGTGATTTTAAAAGACCACTCTGGCTGGAGGGTGGACAACAGGTTGGAGGGAAATGGGAGGGGCTATGGGGAGACCAGTTCAAAGGCTGTGGCTATAGTGTCCACAAGAGATGTTGGTGTCTTGAAACAGGGTAGTGGCAGAAAAGATAGAACTGGATAGATTCTTGAAATATTTAGGGCAGAATCTGAGGGCTGGATTGGAGAGTGAGCAGTAGGAGGGTACCAGGGATGATGCCCAGGCTGACAGCTGGTATAAGCGTCCATCCACTAAGGTAGGAGCATGGGAGGAGGACTAGTATGTGTATTGGGGGGGATAGGACAGGAAGTAGAAAATCACCTTCTAGCCAATGCCTCCAATCTTACCAACCAAAGTAGTAACTTTCAAACTTTTTACTGTGATCCACAGTAAGAAATGCTTTTTACATAGCTTCCCTGTACAAAGACAGGGCATAAAATGTTCACAAAACAATGCTCCCTCGTTTTACGTACAATGCAGGGAGATTTCCTATCTTATTATATTAAATAAATAAATAAAAAGAAAGGCGTTGGGTGAGCCAGGGACCAGTCGCGCGGTGATAACGGTAGCGATGACGTGGGCGGTGACAGAGGCAGTGATTGTGGCGTCGTTTGCGGCGTCGATTGTGGCGTTGTTTGTGGCGCTGGGGTCCTGGTGGTGGCCAGAGGGCACCGTCGCTGCGCCGAGCCAGTTGGCGTTGCTGCTTCTGCACGGAGCGCGGCCGGCGGCTGCTCAGCGGCCAGGGCCTCGAGCGGCCCTTCGCTCCCAAGGCATGGCAGCCTCCACCGCCTCGCACCGGCCGATCAAGGGGATCTTGAAGAACAAAGCCTCCACAACGTCCTCTGTGGTGGCATCCGCCCAGCAACCCGGAGGAGCTGTTGAGCAGGTGATGAGAAAAAAATCCCAGAAGTGGGACGAATCGAGCATCCTGGCGACATACCGCCCAGCATACAAAGACTATGATTTAATGAAGGTAAACGAGCCCAGTACTCCTTGCCTTAATATGCCGGATGAAAGTGAAGATACAGGGTATAATTCAGAGACAAAGGAAGGTATGACCCCAGACAGCTTAGCTAAGAAACTAGCCGCAGCCACAACCTTGGATCCCAGCCGTCAGGCGAAGGAACAAGAGAACATTGGCGAGGAAGAATGGAAAATCTTACTTGACAAACAAGAGAAACGGCGGCAGTTCGAGATGAAAAGAAAGCTTCACTACGATGAAGGACTGAACATTAAATTAGCTAGACAATTAATCTCAAAAGATTTACAAGCCGAGGAGAAGAGTGAAAACGAAGAATGTTGTCATGAGACTAATGAAGAAAACACTACCACAGAAGAATCAGAAGAAGGCCCTGCAAGTGATGAACTGCAAGCCAAATCATGCGACTCGTAGAAAACATTTGTGCCACGCTGCGATTGTTTGGCAGCTACAAACCCTGTTACACGGCTTCGTGTTTACAGCTCCCGGCATCCAGTACTAAAATACATAGTAGTTCAATTGTACTGTAAGAATTAAATGGTAACCTTAAAGAATAGATTGGATGAAAATGTCTGCTTTATATTCTTTTGCTTAATGCTTCACCGCAAATACAGATGCCGTCATTAGTCTAGAACTGCATTACTTTTATAAATATATTGGTTAATTTAGAAAACTTATTATATAACTTTTTATGCTTTAACGTTTTAACAGGATCTTTAGAGGGGAGACTAAATTATCTTCACTTTTAGATGTGCTAGCTTTTATAAAAAGTTTTTTTTTTTTTTTTAAGAAATCAAAATGCAACTGGTGGGCTATATAGCTTGATAAATATTTAGGCTGAAAAGTATTTTAACACTTGTCTTCAACTTGATTTGCGTGTTTAGGTGAAAGGGAATATAAAAATCATTGTTTCATTTCCTTGGCCCAGTACCTTTAAAATTCCTGGTGATTTTCTTTTCATGTTTACAAAAAGAAAGTGAATGAATATTTCCTCATCAAAAATAGCTGTTTTTCATGAATTATCAGGTTAACATTGCACCAGCGTCTGTTCTGACTTTTGTGTACACTAGGTGGGCAGACTTGACATCCATATTTAAAAATAAATATTCAGGCTTCTAATATGTGGAGAAAATTGATTGAATAGCAGAGTGCTATAGACAGAAAGTAGAATTCAGCTGCCGTATTTCTATACTTATCTAGTTTATAGCTTGCGAAATCAATGCTGTTATTTATCATTGACCTCATTAGCTTAGAAAACAACTGAGGTTTGTTGCATCACAAAATTATGTGCAACCTGTGATATGATTATAGTTCTTGAATATACACAGAAGTAAGCTCAAACAATTTTTTGGCCTACGTTTCCTTTTTTTTTTTAATTTAAATTTTTATCAAGATAATTGTAGATTCACATGTAGTTGCAAGAAATAATACAGAGAGGTCCTGTGTACTGTTTACCCAGTTTCCTCCAATGGTAACGTATCACAACATAATAGTGCACTAATAACAACAATTGCAATTGTAATAATAATTGGCATTTACTGAGTATATGCAATGTGCTGGATATACTCAATGAATGCCAATTATTATATTATTATATATATTTCTATTATATGATATATACATATTATATATTATAAAATATATCACACCCACTCCTCACTTATCAACATGGTTACATTCTAAAGACCAGGTTGTTATGTGAAAATTGGCATTATGTGAAAATGGAGGATGACCACATCAGATCACAAAATGAAGGATGACTACGTTATTACATAACTGCCAGATTACATCCTTATATAACTGCCAGATGTGTGTTGTTAATGTGCAACATAGTTGGGTAGTAGATTTTTTACTATTGCTGTAAATGCGAAATGTCAGATAACGAGATAGTCTATAAATGAGGAGTAGGTGTATTATTAGTCTTTCCCCCACTATACATCACTGGCTGTATTCAGGCCCTTATTGGGCAGTGCAGGCCACTGTCCCCCCTTCAAACAGTGCATGTCCCCCTGACACCACAGCAGGGGCTGCTCTTTTGCACAGCTGGGAAGCATGAGTGTTCTAAGGAGAAAGTTTCTCAATATAGGAGGGCCCCCCTCCTCTGCTGCACGTCCTCATGTACAAAGTCCACATGCCACCCCTTCCAAATCCTCTGCTCTGAGTCTATCAGTAAGAAACCTAATCCATTCACTTGTACAAAGACACCACTTGCTGAAAATATCATATTTGTTTATTGCACTTGCAACAAGTGAGCAAACATTCAACAAACACCTATGTGTCAAGTGCAGTAGTCTCTATTAGGGAGAGAAAGATGAATGAAATACATCCTCTGCCACAAAAGTGGTCTGAGGCTACTAGGAGAGACCCTGTATAGTTCTGAATAAAGGATACCTATATTAAAAGGAGGGTTACATAAACTATATGACAGCAAAGAGGTGGTTCCCAGATGACTGCAGAGTGAGCACAAGTCTCCAGATGGGGTTTGCCCTCTTCCAAGTTCCTTCTGTCTGAAGGTGAGGACAGAGGAAGTCCAGCCTCCATGACCTGTTCTTGTTCAGGAGAAGAGGAAGCCCAGATCACACCAGGCTAGGGTGGGGGGAGGAGAAGAGGGTTCACAAGAAGGAGAGATGAACACAGATAGGAACATTGGAGGGAAAAAAACATGGTTCTGATTTGGGAGGAAGGTGTCAACATGGAGAATCCATTTCCAGAAGATGATACTAAGAGAGGTGGTTTTTTTTTTTTTTTAATCTTATTTGAATGAGGAATTATAGATACTCAGTCTCAGAAGAAGGAGCCCTGGTGGCACAATGGTTAAGCCTTGGCTGCTAACCAAAAGGTTGGCGTTTAGAACTCACCAGTAGCTCCACTGGAAAAAGACCTATAGATCTGCTCCCATAAAGATTACAGCCTAGAAAACCCTATGGGGCAGTTCTACTCTGTCACATGGGGTTGCTATGAGTTGGAATCAACTAGACAGCACCTAACAACGAGAAGACTCTCAGAAGAAGGTCCCTGGATGGCACAAACGGTTTACATTCAGCTGCTAACCTAAGGGTTGGCAGTTCAAACCCACCCAGCAGTGCCTCAGAAGAAAAGCCTGGTGATCTGCTTCTGTAAAGATTACAGCCAAGAAAACCCTCTGGAGCAGTTATAGTTTGTAACACATGGGGTTACCATGAGTTGCAATCGACTTGACTACACCAGGTAGCCTCAGAAGGAGAAACAGTTATATAAAATATATAAACCATGCTTGCTTTTGTTGGGTCGTGCTTTATGCAGCTATAGTGTCCTGCTCTGGAACATTGAGGCTCTTTGTTGAAACCATGGACTAAGAAAGGTGCTAGTGTGTGATGTGAGGAATGGGGTGCACACCCACTATACCTCCAATCATCCTCAGGAATGGCAGAAGAGAGGCAAGTGAGGACAGAGTACAAAATAAGGGATGAAGGGAAAAAAAGGGAGATAGATGAAAGGCAAAAGGACTCAAGTTGTGTAGGGAAATAGGGGGAAAGAAAAGACTGCATTCAAGACCAGAAACATCTAACATTTTTCTAATGCATTGAAATTGTATGCCTCTTTCTTGGATTATTGAGCCAGTTCCTGTCTGTTTTATAAATACTTGTGAGTCCTGCCACTCCTGTGCTACCCTGATGAAAAATTAGGTCTTTGGGGAGATAAATCAGCTCTTTGTGGAAAGCACCTTGGCTAGAAGCTGGTTAATGGGGGCAGGCACAAGGAGCAGGGAAGAGCAAAGGTAGACAAAACGAGGTAGCTGGGAAAGACAGAGGCTTGGGATAAGAGGGGAGTGAGATGATGTCATGTCCACTTCTGCGTTCCACCCCCACATCCCCTTGTGCTCTTGCTTCTTTCCCCATGCCAGCCTTGAGGGGTGGACAGAGTCTCTTCCTCGGTATTGATTACTGTTCACACTATTGTTTACCTAACATGATGTCACACATAGTTTAATAGGGAGACACATGGCAAACGAGAGAGGTGAGGGATGGAGCACCCAAAACCCAAATTTGGGTAGAGATACAACAGAAAAAAATTTATAAGAAATTTGATCAAATGAGCACTATCCTTTTAAAATTGTAAAATTCAATCCATAAGCTATGGGATGCAACCTGCAATACAAACGCAAAGGGTAGCAGAAGAGGCTGAGCTCTCAGCCACCATCCACCCTGGTTGAACTTCAGCAGCTGAAGCTGCGTGTGCAGAGGTCTTTGGAGGATTGAAGAATGCAGGCTGCAGAAGGTCTGGGGAAAACTGGAAATTGTGTGTGTGTGCTTGTGTTTGTGTGTCTGTGTGTGGGCATGGGGAATAGCTGCCTTTCCAGTATAAATACAGTTCTCTAATACAAGATTATTTATTATTAGCATCTACAAAAAAAGTAAAAATAGAGATCATTTTTATCATTATGTAAGGAGAACGTTTTTGCATCAATGAATCTGCCTATGTATGCCAGGTACTAAATACCTTATTCTTTCAAGCAGCCTTCTTTTTCTTTCTTTGTTGCTTTCTTTCTTTTTCTCTCTTTCTTTCTTTCTTCTTTTTTTCCTCCCTTTATTTAAAGCAAGCTCTTTGAAAGCTGCATATCAACTAGGTTTCCATAGCAATTGCAAGTATCGGTGATAACCCAGAGCTTCTAAGTTATAATATACAGGCTACCCTATTAATGAATTTCAAACTGAATTTCCATGAGACAACTATTCAGCCACTGATAGATAAGGTCAGACCCAATCTCCAAACTTTAAATTAAATCAGAATAGATCAAAATGCGGTGTCCTTTTGGAGAGTGTGCTATTAAAAAAAATATGTTCTTTGTGGAGGGAAAACAGTTGCTTTTGTGGTTTGTAATGCCCAAATGGAAAAACCCTAAAACAGATATAGCTTCTTCTGGGTTATTAATGGCACATTGCCATTTTTTACTTTATGCTGTTTGTGAACAAGTTTTTCCAGTGGTAGCTCAGACTATAAGAAAGCATGTGATTCTTTGCTCCAGAAAGAGCAGATGTGGTGGTTAACTCTTGCCAGGTCTGGAGTAATAGTTCAGTTGTAATTTATTAACTCATTTACTCATGCACTAAATACCAAGACTCAGTTCCTGCCTTCAAGGAGTTCCCAGATTAGTGGAGAGCTCAGATATGTCACCAGAAAATTTCTACACAGTGCAACAGTGGTTTACCAGGGCCCTGAAAGGGGCATTTCCCTAGATTTTGAAAGGTCTTCCCATGGAGATGATTTTTAGGCTAACACCTAGAGGAGAAATGGAATTTAACTGAGTGAAGTGAGGTGGGTCCAGGGAGGTTGACAATCCAGATGGAGGTGAGAAGCAATGTGGCTTTTTCAGGGAGTTGCAGGGATCCTCATATGAGGTAAATGGGAGGGATTAGAGAGTAAGAAGGGCTATG